CGGTGTGTGCTGCAATGATCATCATTGTAATAGTTGCATTGGTAATATTTGCAAAGCGAATCAGACCTCATTCGATGAAACTCAAGGAGGAAACACGAAGAGAAATCATGGAAGAAGTTATTCAGAAATCTGATAGGTAATATTGTGCATTCAATGACGTAGTATAGAAACTAAAGTGTAACACTAATTGAGATTGTTTTGGGATGAGGTACCTTATACCACAGCATACACAAACACATTCAGGAACTCTGACTTAACATATATCAAACATGTTCAATGGACCAATATATACAATCATGACATTGCATAACTGTGTCACTCTTTAGATAACGATGATTGGCAGTGACCCCTGCTGAGAGATATAATTTACACATTTTTATTAAAATTCCAAAATATCTACTATATACATTTGAGTATAATTAATAACAATTATCAGTACCATTGTCTTAACACAAATCAGAAAAATCGAATTTTTAGTTTACTATGACCTGGTACTGTATATATTTATTAATAATTTTGGTATAAATATTGTTAACATGACAGACTAGCATACAAATAGCTGTTTCCAAGATAAAGATCTACACATTTTATCTATTGATGATGTTATTTTATCAGATTATGTGATTAGATTACCTACCTTTACTGAGAGATATAATTTACACATTTTTATTAAAATTCCAAAATATCTACTATATACATTTGAGTATAATTAATAACAATTATCAGTACCATTGTCTTAACACAAATCAGAAAAATCGAATTTTTAGTTTACTATGACCTGGTACTGTATATATTTATTAATAATTTTGGTATAAATATTGTTAACATGACAGACTAGCATACAAATAGCTGTTTCCAAGATAAAGATCTACACATTTTATCTATTGATGATGTTATTTTATCAGATTATGTGATTAGATTACCTACCTTTACAGTATATTTTAACATTACAAAAAATATAATCCCATTATTTTGCAAAGCACCTTTGGAAATACATACACTTTTAATATATACATAATCATAACATATTTTTACAGACATTTATTTTTTGTAATATAGATATGTACCTTGAATGTGTATTAACGTAATTGGATATAGTCAGTATTCTCAACTTCATTTCAGTCGACTCAATGTTGAAAGTGGTCGTTCCCCATTCTTCACATCGTTCAAGTATCTTGGAGATGACGTGTCCTCAAGTCACGACTTCGACGATGAGTGGGTGAATGAAAAGTCACAAATAGCGACACCTATCGATGAAGTGTTTTATCACGACGAGTTCTGGGGTATTAGTAATGGAGTGAAAGACGAATTGACCCAGAAGGGTCATGACGGTGCACACCTTTCAACGAAAGAAGTAGAAGTAAATCGCCAGAGTTCTTTTCCAGTAGCGCGAATAAATGAATCCAAGTTAAGAAGGCGAACCTATGATGATATAGAGATGAGAAATTTGCATGATGAAGATGGTGACGACTTATTGAAAAGTAACTCGGCGGATGGTAAGCTTAATGGAAAGATGACAGAGTGGAACCCACAGGTAGACCATATTGATCCAAATGCAGATGTAAGTAAAAATAAAGAAAGTTATAGCCTATAAACTGTTTTCAAGGCGTCTAGTTCCGTGGTTAACTAATTTGACAAAAACGAAACATTTAAGCAGCAAGGCATACTGCTTATAATTATTTATGTCTATTTTAGGCATGTTTCTAATAAAATTATTTAAATTATTTTTCCGTTTGTTTACAGTATCATATCAAACGACCTCGGTCAATCATATCAACTGGCCGGGATAGCTTTCAGGTATAGAAGCTTAATTATTCGATAAATCTTTGATATATATATATAGTGTTATAGAATTTTATGTATATTGGATATTCAATGTATTCAGTTTACATCACATCATACCATAAAGTACTTTTCTCAGAGAGAAAATATAATAATATAAAATTGTATTGACAGTATACCTATCGCGAATCATAACGTCATTATTCGCAAATGTAACCTCATTACAAAACTTTACCACAAACGTAGCTACTTGTACTGAGCACAGTATATATAATTACATACAATAATATTACGTTTTTGTTACAGTCGAGTATGTTAGAGCATTATATATAAGTGAATTTGGAGAATTATCAACAAACCTTCAACTGTTTAAAGTCAACATATAGTTTAAGATCGGAAAATCGGTAATAACATTGAAGCAATACTTATGTAAATTAGGTATTTAATATACTAGTATCACTCATTTTGAAAAATGTCGAAGCATATTGTATGTTTATATCGAAATATAGTTATTGTTATACTCATACTTCATATATTATTTTATTAATCACATATATTGTTATATATACCGGAGACGTTCACGTGAATGTCGTTTCCTATTAGACGCTACAGACGCGATGTACGAGGACCTATGTCTAAACTCAATTATACTCAGGGAAAACCAATTTTGTCAAATGACGGTTTATTATGAACTGATCTCTTTAACCATGAACAACTTTTCCATAGTTTACTGTACAGAAGAGGCTGATTTCTTTATTAGTAATTTTGACAGAATTATGACTAATTTATATGTACACTTTGCATACGTAGTAATGTTTTAGTGTTTTCACGTCATTACTTTTTGAAAACATTAAATGATTGTCTACTTCCTTATTAACTGTTTGATTTGTGTGTATGGTTGTTCATTAGGCAATACTTCAAATATGAGACTAGGAAATGGGATACTCCCAAAACAGTATATTAACTGTGTTTTGGAAAATGCTATTACCAAATGTAATGTGAGCCCTAGTAGAGCCAGTAAGTGTATTACATAACTCATCACTCTTACAACGTTTACATTTAGCGGACAGTCTTCAATGATTTTTGATGATTTTTTTTCTTACAACAACGAATGCCTGGAACAAAGAAAGCTGGTTAACACGATAAAGCATTTCAACATGGCCAACATAATGAGACCCCCAAATAACGTAACAGAGACGAAACCACCCTTAGTAGCAGAGTTTACTCTTCACTTCCACTTGAACTAGAGATGAGGAGACGACCTAAAATTGAATCTGAAAATAAAAACTTAGAAGACGAATACCACATTCTTTTAGTCTGTTCTACTTATATAAACCGAGGAAAATAAATTTAACTAATAATACACCTTTGTACGTCTGACTTCTGACAATAAATCATGGAACCTATGTCAATTTGTGTATAAAGCTTTTAAGGTGAAAACATCAACAACTGATTTCTTGTGATATGCCCTCTGTACTCATAATTTATTAAGTTTTTATTGTTTACTTTGTATATGGGCCAGAGGCCTTGTAATGCAATAAAGTTAAATTTGTCCAGGCTCAAAGCTGGATTGACAATCAATCTTGCTTTGTTTGGTATATGTTTGTCTCAACCACTTATCCATTCAGCACCAAGCGACCCTATAGTGAAGCAGTTGTATTGCGCATAATGGCCGCTAGGTGACCAATCGCTGGCTAGCAGTGGTCGCAAACCCATACGATCGATTTTATTGGCACCAGAAGTATCTTGTCCTACTGTTTATGCATTGTCGATTTCAAACTACCGCATAGCAATTCTTTTTAGAATATCCTTTAATTATTAACATGGCAAACGAGAATAAACGAATCGCGAATCACAATTCAAGAAATCTCGTACGAACGTGGGTTACAAATAGTAATTTAATTATTTATTGACGTAAATAGGTT